GTCCTGGCAAGTTGAACTTGAGCTCGTAGCATATCCCCCTTGAGGTCTCGATGTAGGTTGGTCGCCGTTGCTCCACACAGAGGTATGCGTCCTTCACGTCGCCACTCAGGACCACAAGGTTCGGGTTGCTGCACGCAAGCGCTGCGAAGAGCTTTTGCAAAGAAGCCAAAGACGCAGGAGAATAAAGATCAGCCATCTCGGGCTGAAGGAACTTGTACTCCCTCGCCACAAGCCGGCTCCTTCGCTTCCATTCATCACGAAAGCGCCAATCCCTCACGAACTTGCAACTCAACTTGTACATCTCCGCCTTCTTAGTCTCGTCCGTGAGCTCTTTGAGAACTCCCATGTTGAGAAGCCGCTCCTCCTCAACCTTGTCCATTTCGGCATCAAGGAGCTCAAGCTTTTCTGAATCCAAGCAAGGTGGGCCATCCTCATAAGCCCGTCTCTTCGCATCGTCCAAGATCTCCTCAATCTCCCAATTGATGCCCTCGTCGACAAAGGCATCCAAATCGTCTCCTTCTGAAAAGACGTCAGGCTCTGGTTCATGACCAGTAGGGAGATCTTCAAGCCACTCAACACTGAAAGCCGACAGGGTACTAGCAATCGCAACGTTGGCAGGAAGAAGTTCCTCTGACATTGACGAACCAGAAGAGCTTGACGAACTGCCACCAGGAAGAGTCACACTCATTTGGTCACCACTGGCCACTGCACTCGCATCACCTTGCCCGGAAGCTGCTGAAGAGGGAGGATCAGAGGCCGCCTCGTCGTTGTTGGCGCTCGGAGGCAGAGCCTCCAAGACCACCGGGACCCTGTTGTAATCAGCCTTCTTCTGCTTTGTAGCTAAGACTTCCAGAGAGAAGTCCCAAGGCACACCACGCATTGTTTTCAACATTTCCACATCATATCCCTTCGGTGCACGACGAGCTGTCCTGGCAAACTGTATCCCAACGGGACTCCCAAGGATGTGAAGCTGACCGAGCTCAGAACGACCAAGCCACACATATGGCTTCCACGGCTCACCTTTGTTCTTGGTCTTGGGAAGAACCTGAGCATACACAATGCTTCCGAAAGGACACAGCTTCTGACTGTAAGGTTTGCCATGCACCAGCTCATAGCTCGTGCAGCCATCCTTGTGCACTGTGAAGCGAGAAATCAAGAATCCAGCATGAACATAAGCCCAAGCGAAAAGAGGATCACTGCTCTCAACTTTGTGCCCCGTTCTCTGCCTCACTGTCTCCAGCAAGCAGTTTCCCAAACGGCGCACGGTGTCAATGTATCTCTCAGCATGTAGGGCTCGATGTGCCAAAGGATCGGGACCTACAGGTTCCAAAGTGGTACCCAGGCCCATCTTCAGACGAGAGGTCTGAATGGAGTCCGCTAACTGCTTCATGGCGGGCTCTGTGTCGAAGCGCAAACTCACCTGAGAATAGCCAAGCTGTTGCAACAAGATAATCACTTCCTTGGTGGCATACTTCAGCAAGCTACCCCCTTTAGCGCTCAAAGCAACAACCTTGACAAACTTCGACTGGCTATCGACACAGACCAAGTGGGTTGCCAATCCATTGTCCTTTGTCCCAGTGAACATGTAGTCCAAGGAGATGATGGGATTTTCTCTTCGCGTGTTCCCAACGTCTTCAAAGTTGTCCTCTCGGGAGCGAGTTGCAACGCAAGCTTCGCACCATGGTGCCCGCGGCATGTGGGAAATCTCATGAAGGGCCACGAGCTCAGGCGCTGGAGGGGAAGCCAGGGCTTCGGCCAAAGGTTTTCGTTCAAGCTGTTTCAAGACTTCCTCCGACGCCTGCACGCTAGCTCGAAGCTTGCTCTCAGCGATCTCCTTTTTGAGCCTTGCCCAAACAAGGGCTTTGGAACCATTCTTCGAAATGCTGAGAAACTTGCATCCTTCACGGAGTTCTCTAAGCGAACTGTTCTCGGTGAGCACCTTGTTGTTGACCTGAACAGCTTCATCTTCATCACCCTGCACTTCCACAGGAGCCGGGCCGATCAAGGGTGGAACTCCATCGCCTTGGCCCGGATGATCTCCCCCGGATTGGGCATCAGCAACAAGGACATCACCTTCACCAACTGCATCAGGCTGTTCTGCTGGAACTTGAGGTTGTTCTGCTGAAGAAGACTCTAGGGGCTTGGGTTCAGGAACTACCCGAGGACGTACTTCACCTTCAACAACGCTGCCCAACGACTCTAGCTCAATGGCCTCCTTGACAAAGATCGTGAGCACCTTCTTCTCCTTTTTGTCAAACTCAGAGTACATGCAAGGCCCTCCAGGAATTAGGGGACCCCAAGGCTCACAATCCTCAAACACTTCATAGCGAGAACCTCCTCTCCAGAGCAGCGTTATTCTCAAAGGCCAATCATCAGGAGTGAAGCCGGAGATGCTACCATCAAGCGTTCCACGCATCCCCATTCCAAGATGCGCTGGGAACCCTTCTATCGAGAGCCCCCATCCAGCCTCATGCGTGAGCACATCGACGTGATCGCTGAGGGCCAGCACCACACAAAGGCGAAGCGGATCTTGATCACATGTGTTTTGGGTTGCGCCTTCAGCTGCTTCGGGGGGATCTTCTCTAGACTCGGAACCAGGCTCATCAGAAACCCTGCTTATTCTCATGAAGGTTGCCAGGGAGTTCTTGCTCCAATGAACCCCGAAGCGAGAATCATCACGGCGCAAGTACCAAGAACCGTCCTCTTTCACAGGCTGCCAGTCATTCTTTAAGAGCTTCCCGAAGCAAAACAGAGGCTGCTTGACATTGGCAAGAATGGCAAAATCAGTGAACTGGATCATTTCTCCATCTTCACCCTCTACTTCAAACAGAACGCGCTGCCGAGAAGAAGATTGGGGAATGGTGTTCCCCTGTGCATCAACAAGGGTCGCCCTACGGTGACCATCCTCGCCTACAGATCCGAACTGACCTTGAGGCAGCACTGTGCAATCAGCGCCTGAGTCCAAGATAACTTCATGAAGGCCCGTGTCTCTCACAGCCCTCGCAGCAACTTCCTCCGAACTCGTTTGGCTTGAAATATCATTGGCGCGTTCACCGCTGCACAAGATATCAATGGCGCGTTCACCGCTGCACAAAGGTTTCAAGCTCTGGCTGTCCGAAGAATCTGATGTCATGCGATACCACATGGTACTACTGCTCGGCAACTCATCTGCACTTGCACTGGAATCAAGAAGAGGCTCTGCATCAATCTCACGAACAACGCGCACAGCACCATCGTAGAAAGTGACATGGATCTCTTCAGTCTCACCGTCACTCTCTTCAAGGGCACACAGATCAACACGCTGAACCTTCGCTTTGGCCTTGGCCATGGAGGTCGCCGAAGTTGGCGCAGTCGAAGCAGAAGCCTGTGACGCAGCATCATCTTGCACTGCATTCACACGCTGCCGACACTCAGCAGCAAAATGTCCAGGCTTGCCGCACACAAAGCAAACTTGCTGTACACCTTTCTTTCCCTTGCCACCTCCATGTTTGTCTTTGCCCTTGCCTTTGTAATTGCCGTGCTTGTCCTTGCCCTTGACGTTGCTCCATGATCTGTATGCTTTTCCTTGATCCTTTCCTTTCTGATGTCCTTTGGGGCCTTTGGGTCCTTTTGGATTTCCTTTCTTCCCTTTGTTCCAAGACTTGCCCTTCTCTACTCTGTCAACATCCATAGGATCACCATCTGCTCCAGGAACACGACCTACACCCAACGACTTCAGAACATGATCTGCATTCCACGTTGAAGAAGAACGCTCGTACTGCAGGACCCTTTCCCTAAGTTGCTCGTACTTGGTGGAGTCGACGATCTGCATCTGGAGGTACCTGCGCATTTCTGTAGGAAGGCCGGAGAGAAGTGTTCCTATTTTCAGATCTTCCGCGTAGGTTTGGGAGGAAAGAGATTCGTACTCTCGAACCAGCCGCTCGAACGTGAGCACATACTCGAGGATACTGGTACCCTCCTTGTACGGTGGAAACCGAGTGAGCGCTTGAGCAAGCGCCAAAGTCCTAGGTCTGCTCTTTGGTGCCAGTTCATCATGGAGCTGGCGCCACACTTTGAAGCCATCCGCGTCCGTGACCGAACGCAACATCTTAAGTGGTCTCCCCCTCAAGTAGGAAGCCAGCATGGCGTAGAGACGAACTGCTCTCTGCTTTTGGCCTTCGGTGTAGCTGTTGAAAGCAGTAAAGGCCGTAGCTGTTTCACACTGGTCCAAGTCCTCCTTGAACATGGGGTCCTGAATCATCATAAAGGACTTGAAGCGGAAAGACCAATCGTTCCACATCTGCATTTCTTGTTCCATGTCTTTTGGCTCGAAAACATCAGGCTGTCTCACAAACTTGCTTTCTTTCCAGCCACCGCCAGCCGAAGACGCCGACGATGACATAGCCAACTGACTGACCGCTTGCGCCAGCCTGTCCAGAACCAACTCTCCAGTCAGAGCGCCCGAGGCACTCGGAGAGGCTCCTGGAGACACATCTCCAGCAGGAGAGGCTGCCGAAGCAGGCTCCATCTCCGCTGCACCGGCTCAAGGCTCAACGCACCCTTCGCTACTTGTTTCACACCACCAAGCAGCGGTTCACCCCGAAGTTCAAGAACTGGCCGCCTCGTTCACAGCGGCGGTTGTAGAAGAGCTCGTTCGCAAGCCAAGCAGCGCCGCACACGCACGCGAGGACTATTCCACACAAGGTGGGCTTTCGAGGCTACTCCTACAGGGCTCTACCAGGATCGGTGTTCGGTCCTCTGGAGCTTTGGTAGCTCCGCTACCATAAAACCACAGCACAACTTTTTGCGCACACTTGTTGAGCCTTCCGCAAGCGGTCTTTCACAAGTCAAACTCAAGCTCTAAAAGTGGGGTTTCAGGGAAAACTAAGAAGTTGTCAATCAGGGAAGGGCACGAGTGGCTGGTCATCAGCTACGAGATCGCCCAGCTCTTTCCTCAGTATTGCTTGTTAGCGCAAGCTTCGGGGAATGCCTCAGGGCAGATTGCATCGGTTGAACACGAGATGCAGCTGGCTAAGAGGATCAATGCGAGCATCGCAGCTTTCCTTCAGAGGAACCCGGGCAAGGCTGTCACGTACCAGGATGTCTCGGCTGAGATCCTTCGGAGCCGCTCGCCGCATGCGGCTGCTCTACCCTCCATCTTCGGTTTCGTCATGAAGTGTGGTGGCGGCACAGGCGAGACGAGCTTTCTGTCGAAGACAGAGCGGTATGTTCGAGCTTCGGGGTTTCCGAATCGAGCCCTCGGCGGCGACCTGTGGCATGGCCTTTCGCAGGACTGCAAGGGCAGCGATCAGCATGTAGCATGGAGACACATGTGCATCAAGTTGGGCCTGAGCGGCCCCGAAAAGGCCATCAGCTTGACAGACATCAAGCGATCACTCTCAGCAAAGGAGGTTCTCCCCAATGTGAAGAAAGCCGAAGCCGTGCTTTTCGAGGTGCAGCGCCTGTTGCATGGTTTCGACAACGTGGAGGCGGTGATAGGGGACCTCGAGGTTGACATGGCCGCCCTTGTGCTGCAGAAGAAGAAAATTGCCAAGCACGACAGCATTGAGGATGCTGCCGGGACGTGCCTTGGAAAGTTCGGTGTCTCGTCTCCCTGGGCGAGCAGCAGTTCACCCACGAAGACTTCGGAATCCTCAGCCCCAGCCACTCGTGGCTCGTGCCTCGATCTGTGTATGCCTGGTTGTATACATATATACATATAAATACATCTTGATGCTTATATGGGGCTTGTATAGGGTATAGGGTTCACGTTGGAGTATATGTGGGGTCTGTGTACTTGGGCATCGCCCTTGTGAGGACTCTTCGTATCTTCAACGAGGGTTGCGGATTTGGGGTCGGGTCCAGGTATGCATGCTCATGAGGTATAGGTTTTCAGGGATTCATGTGGTGTGCAAGATGGGTCCATTCAGCCGCGAGGTGTAGGTTCCCGGTTTTCATGTTGTCTTATGCAGTATATATATATATATATGTTAGTTTGGGGTTTGGTCATGCAGTCAACGTGTCTTTCTAGGAGTTTGCGGGTCTACGACGACACAGGGAAGCTTGTGTCGAACTCGCGAGTCGTGGACCTGGGATTTCAGCCTGGGAAGGAAGTGATCCGACGAGCCGACGACATGAAGGCCACCATCATCGAGATCTCCGCCGACAAGGTCCGTTTGAAGCTGCAAGATGGCAAGGAATACGAGGCATCCTCAGAGGCTTTCGTGGAGAACAAGTGGAAGATGTATGTGCCCAAGATAGAGCCCGTGTTGTTCAAGGGATGGAGCAAGTTTTCCCCTTTGAGAAGTGAGGAGTTCAGCATTGCAGTGATCAAGGGCCTGGTTTTCAGGTCCATGTACGAGCAGTACGAGACGTTGCACGTCGATGACCTTGATGTCTTCCTCAAGCCGGGCAAGAATGTGCAGGTGAAGAAGGGCTACAACATCAACATCTTGAAGCTCCCCATCGCAACGGCCAAAGTTCATGTTGGTGATACGGTGCCCGCCGGAGCAGTGCAGTTGGCTGCTTTGGCTGCAGGACCAAGCAACAAAACGACCCACCTCATGTCCATGCAGGCTTACTTTCAAGGTCCCAAGACCGAGTCCTCGCCGGGCTTCATCAATCCAGTATGGGTGATGAAGAGCACATCGGATCGCGATGAGGCCAACATGGAGCTGCATTGGGCGAGCAAAGCCTCTAGCAACCAGAAGCTGACGTGCAAATCCACAACGATGATCCTCCCGATAGTCCGCAATTTTGTCAAGCTCGATGCAGGCGACAGCTTGGTGCTATGGAGGCCCGACATGGCCAAGAACGAAGAGATCGAGGTTCTGCAGCCGGTGAGCAAGAAGGCCCGAAAGTAAGTGGTCCATCCAGGGCAATTTTGAATCGTGCGCCAAAAGGCCCCTTCATCCCATTGCTGAAGGCTCCTCTAATCCACTCGTTTGGCAGAAGGCCCCTATGTAATCCCGTGCAGCCATGCAGCTCCTGTGCGATCGGTTTAAAAGAATGATGTGTCGGGGAATCTGACATCATCGACTCCATGTTGCATACACGGAGCTTGCCTGGTTTCAGCCTGGGTTTTGCAATCCATCAGATTGGGATTGCAACGAGACAGTCTGATGCCGATCTTGGGCCTTGTGTCGGAGAGTCCTCGTTTGACGTGTCTTTGTGTGTGTATGGTGTGTGTGTGTGTGTGTGTGTCCGTGTCTGTGTGTGTCTGTGTGTGTCTGCATGTGACTGTGCCTGAACATTGGCTCTATGCCCTGGGTTCACAGCAGCTGAGTTTGTGAACTTCTGTCAGCAGGGCTGCAGCTCGCTGACGGGAACAGCAGGGCCTAGCTCGCTGTTCAAAGTTGGAAGCCATGTCTGAACCGGAGGAGGAGGAGGAGCACGAACAGGGGGACGAACAGCAGGAACTCCCAATCAAGATCTACACGGCCATTTGCATCGAAGGAGCTGGCCTCAAAAAGAAAACATGGCAACCCGCGATTCAGTCCGTGCACGGCAACAACTTCATGAAGCTCAACAAACGGGACAGGTTCCTGACCCAATTTGTGACGGGGAAGGGTTTGCGATTGCATAGCTCGAAAGAGCACAATATCAATCGTCAATGGTTCCATACCCTTCAAGAGCTGCGAAGGACAGCATGTCAGGAATCCTTGAAGCGGGTCATCGTGCAAGCCGCCGAGGCGGAGGGGACCGCCGTCCCGGCCAAGATCCGTGCTGCGACCCAGCAGGATGAGTATCTAGCGGGGCGGATGGTTGAGGTCACGGCACCAGCAGTGGTTAACGAGCAGGGGGAGGTCGTCCATGAAGAGCACCCCATGAAGATGCTGTGGGGCATCAGGGGTGTTGACTTTTGGGTCGAACTGAATGAGGCGAACCTGCACTATGTTCGCCTGGCCCTGCTGAACTCGCCGACCTACGTTCAGCCAGCTCCGAAAAGAGCTGGTCGTGCGGCTGCCAGCCCGAAGAAGCGACGTAAGCGAGGCCGCAAGCCGAAAGCAGCTGTCGCAAACCACGAAGAAGATGACGATGAGGAGGCCGAGGCTGCAGAGGCTGCTCCGGACAACACGGCGAATGACAGCGACGATGCCCCCCCCATTGCAGGTGAGAACATGTGATCGGACATTTTATGCATTCGCGATGTAGCATGCACCTCAGTTATCGCAGTTCTGTATGGTTTTGCGGTGTCACCAGTTTTCCCGAAGTACCATATTGGTTTCAGGCTGTGTGCCCATGGATGATGCTGTCCTGCAATGACAAAGTGCTCCTGCTGAGTTTTAGGGGGGTGGGGTGGGGTGGGGTGGGGGTTTTTAAGGTTTAGGGTTTATAAAGGGGTTTGTGCAGCACTTTAAAGGTTTGGCGCTTTGGCTGGGTTTATATACATGTGTCCAGCTATAGCTTTCCTGTTGGATTTCGTTCGTTTTCTTAAGTTATACGTATACCTCAGGTATAAGGTTCTATATTTAGGACATATCTAGAAGAATGGGTATATACTTGATGCTGCTGTCCTCCGAATTTGTTTCTGCTCTTCGTGAAAAGTAGAGTGGATGGAATGTGGGTGTAAAAGTGTGTGTCTCTGTGTGTGTGTGTCTGTACAAAGTGTATATCTTTATCTGTATACATCGATGTATATTCCTGTCAACCTCTATGAATGTTTATAATAGCCGGTACTCTACCTGGGCCATACATGCACTCTTGTGAATTTGAAGATGTTTGCGGTGAGCTTTGCAGCCAGACATGTCCCATGCAGTGTGATGAGCTGTGCAGCCAGACATGTCCCATGCTTTGCTGATGTGAGCCGCTGTGAACTTTATTCTCATGTCGCAGTTTGGGCCAAAAAGGTTTTTAGCCTTGAGTTTTCCTGCTTCGCATGCCATGAAGCGGGCGTGGAGCCAGATGGATGTGAAGGAGGAGGAGGTCGAAGACGTCCCGGTCGCTGATGGTGTTCCCTCGGGCGACTTCGCTTCCCATGAGGCTACCGATGACGGCGGATGGGCCGAATGGGGTTCCAAAACGTGGGATGATGAGGATGATGAGGGCGACGGCTCCGCTGATCCCGGTGTGCAGGACTGCTTTTGGGCGGACACCGTTGGCGACGTCGCGAAGAAGGACTTCTTCTGGGAGGACCAGCATCCTTCGGCTTTGTCGGACGACAAAGGCCAAGGAGGGTTCCGTGGCAAGTGGAAGGGTGGCTACAAGAAGCCGTGGGACCATGGCAACGGCGGCTATGCGTCCTCGCACTCCAGCTCTTCCGGTGGTGGAAAGGGCAGGTACGTCCAAGGCGGCTGGATCAATCCCTCCGGGAAGTTTTATCCGATTCTTGGAATGCTTTTAGACGAACCCTTTCGATAGCCAGAGGCTAGAAAACGGGCCTTAAATCAATCAACACCAGTCATGTAAATTTACATGACCATGCACTCCCTACAACTTTTATGGATCACCCGACAACCCTCTGTGCACCCAACTCACATATAGCTCGATAAGTGGTATGACTTCATAATTATAGACAACAGCCATACCCTTAAAGTCCTCACTGAAGTTGTTTCGTGCATCAGCAGCATTGGATCCAGGACGGGCGGTGGGCGACAGCGAGACCGCGTTCGTGCCGGTCATAAGATCCAGCACAAGAGGAAGATGGAGGAGGACCGCGACGAGCGGCGAGAGTTCCGTGAACAGGCCAGTTCAACCAAAACAACCACAAACCATATAGTAATAGAAACCCAATATTATGTACCCCCTTCCTTTGTTTGTCCGTTTGGCTTGTTTCTAATACATTCGGTTATATAGGTTATAGATTAGTATATACGATATGTGTATATATATATATATAGACATACATGTAAGTATAAACTATGGAGTATTTCTTGAAATGGGTCTTTGCCTGCACAGAAGAACCATGGGTTTTGGCCGTTAGAGTTTCAAGGGCTTTAGTTTCGGTTGTTTGGTTGGATGTTTGTGGGTTTTCCATGGGATGTTATGGTTCATAGTGGCTGGTTACACAGCTAGGTCTCGAAAGCTCCTCGCCCATCCCTGCAGATGAGCACCGCCCTGGGGACGATGGGCCGACTCGTCGGCCTCCTTGAGAGGAAGGAGATGTAGGAGGTAGCACATGCACGAGTCACGGTCGGTGCAGAATGTTGTTGAACTTTATGCAGGCTTGCATTATAGTCAGCCCTACATAAGAACACATACATACATATGTACATACATACATACATGCATGCATACGTACTTACATGCATACATGCATGCTTGCATACGTACCTACATGCATACATGCACACATACGTACATACATGTGCCTGTATATACCCACGTGCACACGGACCTACATATACCTTCATACTTCTATACCTGCATACCTATATAGATACCTTCTCACATATTTACCTACATACATACATACATACATACATACATATATACATATACATATACATATACATATACATATATACATATCTACATATCTACATATATACATATACACATATACATATACATATACATATATATGTACATATATGTGTATATATGTATATATATATATATACATTTACATACGTACACACAGACATGCAGGATCGGGTCGCAAGGCCGTGCTGGTATGTGCATAGGGCTGCAGCCTGCTGAAATTGAGGCCGCGAGCACGGGCATTGAAGTGTTGTGTGCTAGGGTGCAATAGTGCAGTCTGGTTTGTTTTATGTATATGTCCACCCACCTTACATAAACCCTCGACCCTTATATAAACCCTATGGGTACTAGCTATGTCAAGCTTGCCACTAACAATGTTGGTGCTCGCCTGGCCCCCGGAAAGGCCGACGGACATCCCCATGCATGCCACGAGTGTAGCTGCAAAAGTCCAGTCTTCTAGTATACTGTATATCGTTGTTTCCAACATGATGGAGATGTCGTCGGGGATTCACAGTGCAGGCCTTTGGCAGAAGCGAGTGGTTACAAAGGCAAGAAGTGGCTTTATTCTTAATGCTGCACAGCGACGATGCAAAGGCCTGCATGCCAAACTGGTCGGTCCTTGTTAATTGAGCTGCTTGCAATGGGCATTCGTGTTCTACCGTGCCATGGCCAGCCTTGCACCTGCAAACCCTAAAGCCCGAAACTGGATCTTGTGTCCGGCCCTATGCATTCCAGCTCGTGCTTCTTCCGTGGAGGTATATCTTCGGAGTCGTAGCAGTTGCTGTGGCTATGTGCATTTTGTGTGCCTTACACGTAACCCAAAACCCTTAAACCCTAAACTGCTCTAAACCCCGAAAAAACCTTAATCCTAAACCGTGGAAAGCTTGCAGACTAAGCCGACCTCCCGGATCCATGGGGACTTATGAATGGTTGCCGCTGGCTGCAATGGAGCAGGGAAAGAACTAGTTAAGCTAGGTAGATGGGTAGGTATATATGTACAGAGTACATAGGAAAATAGGTAGATGGGTCGTTATATATGTACATAATACATAGGAAAATATTTATAAATATATTTTCGTTATATGGGTATACGTAGCTAAGTTACAGGTATATAGACATGTGGGTTCATAGGTAGGTGTTTATATATATATATATATATATATATATACATAGTGGATAGAGTGTTGTCAGGTACAAAGCCTATATAGGTAAAGGTGGAGGTTTATGTGAGGTAAATAATACATAAGCAGATGTAGACATAGGTAGGCAGGTATAGGCAGATGGTTCGGTCGGTGTATAGGTAGGTATGCATATAGGGGGCACATAGGTGTAGGTAGTTTGGAACCGGTGTGTGTTTACATACATATATATATATATATATATTGTTAGGTAGTTACAGGCCGGTCATAGGTAGGTTACGTGGAGAGGTATTATCGGTAGT